GTGTGTGTGTGTGTGTGTGTGTGTGTGTGTGTGTGTGTGTGTGTGTGTGTGTGTGTGTGTGTGTGTGTTTGTGTTAGTTAGCGTAGTTGCAGTCGTATCTGCGTGCGCACGCAGCCTTAGGCACACGCACGCACGCACACGCGCACACACACACGCGCACCCCCCCCACCCACACACACACACATGCGCACCCCCCACACACACATACACGCAGCCTTAGGCGCACCTTGCGAAGAATCCAGCCGCATGCCAGGCTATCATTAGCACGCATACACGCGCACACACACGCACACGCGCGTCACTAGCAAGAAAGTTACGATGACACCTTTATGATTTAACGACACAGCTAGCTTCATACCGGAGCTCTATAGTCGGTCGCATGCGGCTGTCACAGGGTGTGCTGCTATCCACACACGTGCGCACGTCTCACACACACACACACATGTCACACACACATGTCTCGTTAGACAAGCGCACATTATTGTCGCTAGCATCGCTCGGGTGGGGGCTTCGTACAACAAAAGCACTCTCTGTCGTCTGCGCCGTACATTTCTCGGGGGAGGGGGTGGATTTCTCGCGGGGTGACGTCGCAGGCGGGGCCATTACATTGCGCATGTAGCGACGGCACACCATATGCCGCTGTTGTTCATCCACTCTCCTCCCCCTCCTCTCTCGCTTTCACTCCCTAATCGGTACTAATCTACAAAGCTGACAGGTGGTGTCGAGCGCTCGAGCGCAGTAGCAGCAGCAGTAGCAGTAACAGCAGCAGTAGCAGCGGCAGCGGTAGCGGTAGCAGCGGCAGCGGCAGCGACAGCGACAGCGACAGCGATAGTAGCAGCAGCGGTAGTAGCAGCAGCGGTAGTAGTGACGCATCGAGTAGTCGTGAGATGCTATCGCTATGGTGCGTTGTTTGTAATGTGCCGCACTATATATAATTATATATATATATCATAGGCTACCGTCGTTTCGAGATGCTAAATCTGCCATCACGTGGATGTGTCGCATGGACGATGGTTTAACCAGTAGTGTTAGGTCCACCCGTTTATTTACGCAGCCGTGCGCCTATCCACTACTGTGTGTGCACGTGCACGTGTGTGCGAGCATGTACGCGTGCGTGCGTGCGCGTGTGTGCGTGCGTGTGTGTTTGTGCGTGTTAGTGCTTGCAGGAGGCTGCTTATAAATACAGCATGCACTCAACGCGGAGTTTGTGTGTAACTAAGTAGGTAGGTACCTGTCATCATCATCATCGTCATCATCATCATCGTCATCATCATCGTCATCATCATCATCGTCATCATCATCATCATCATCGTCATCATCATCATCATCATCATCATTCATCATCATCATCATCATCATCATCATCCCACCGTCGCTACTACACCTGCTGCTTGTGGCTGCTGAAGCTACCGTTGCTGCTACTGCTGCTGCTGCTGCTGCTGCTGCTGCTGCTGCTGCTGCTGCTACTGCTGATGATGATGATGCTACTGCTGCTGCTACTGCTGATAATGATGATGCTACTGCTGCTGCTGATGATGATGATGATGAGGGTTAGAGAGGAAGCTGAGTGTGAGAGTAGAGAGAGAGAGAGGGGGGAGAGGAGCCATTCACAGTGACGGAGGGGGGGAGGCGCAGCGGTGGTTAGGAGAGAGGAGCGGCGGCGGCGGCGGCGACGGCACACAAACACGATCATTGACCATCCCCGTCATCGTCGTTATTGTCGTACAGGTGTTCAGCGTGTCGGCAGCTGCTGCAGCACTGGTACTTCGAGAAGGAAGGACGGCTGTACTGCCGCAGCGACTACTGGTCGCGCTTCGGGGAGTCCTGCCACGGATGCCTGGACCTCATCACAGGCCCTGTCATGGTGAGTGAACGCATGCTGGCGCGTGAGGCCGGGAGGGGGACCGGGGACGGTCCTACGCTAGCTACATACCCGCGCGTGCGTGATGCGGTTATGATTAAAATAGGGGCTAGATTAACGTTATAGGTGAGTTAGGATCCCAGTCCCTGTCAGTGGTGATATCCCAAAGGGGGTTTTGAAGGGAAGGGGTGGTCTAGTGTTTGCTTAGTACAAATTTTGAGGCTTGGTTTCGATACCCACCCAGAACCTGGCAAGTTTATGTTATTTCGTGCTCTTTGTATATATTTGGTCCTTATTTTATGGAATTGTTTCAATTAATTAGCGAAATTGCCTATAATAAATATGGAAAATCTTAATAATGTATTTAGGTAAAGATTTGAGAGGCATGAAGGGTCCTAAAATAGTTGTGGATAGGCTACCCCACTATTACATGGCCCGTCATGGCATAAAACTTCTACATTGTCGTTGTTATCGACATGGATATACAGCAAGTTCGTGATACAGTTCAGGTTCAATTTAATTTAATAATAATTATTAAAACTGCAGCCCCGGTAAGGCAACAATTTAAGCATGGAAATGACGATAACCCTGTGACTGCATGGTACGATGCCTTCTCATATCCTGATATGCGTGATTAAATTCTCTATGTCGTGTGCGCTGTTTCATGGAAGTGTCACATAGTGTTAAACTTCGTTACACTCACAGAATGGGTGTCTAAACTGGTAGCGTACGCTTCATGGTATGCCAGAGAAGTTGGGTGTCATTTTCCAGTACAGGGAGGGAGTCATGGTGTAGAGTAGGGACTGTTGCATTAGACATTCACATCGTTCATTGTTGTAATTCTATAGTTGTAACGGCTTCGAAATTTCGTGTGATTTCATATGCTCATCACTGAAAGTGTTTACGTGCTATTATCATCACCAGGTGGCGGGCAATTACCGCTTTCATCCCGAGTGTTTCCAGTGTGTCAACTGTGACAGCCACATCGAAGACGGAGACACGTACGCGCTCGTCGAACGATCGAAACTCTATTGGTATGCAGATACCACCTCCTCCTCCTCCTCCTCCTCCTCCTCCTCCTCCTCCTCCTGGTTGTGAGCTCGGGCGCGCGTGTGTTGTGTTGTGTTTCCCATGCGTGTGATTGGCATCCGTTTCGCGCCTCTCATCGCTCCCACGTGGTGGAGGATTGTTGCATGGCTTTCCGGCGTGCGCGCGCGCGAGAGAGTTTATATATTACGTCCGTGCTAGCTGGCTCGTAGCCGCATTTGTTGTACCGACTACTGCCCGATGTTATCTCTCTAGCTCTCTCTCTCTCTCTCTCTCTCTCTCTCTCTCTCTCT